CTATGCACCAAGTTTCATCAAAAACCGAGGTATGGTTCTTGAGATAGCAGTGGAACAGTCGGACACACATACACACACACACACACACACACACACACATACATACATACAGACACACTAACTGCAAAGACTCCCATTTTGTGCTTCGCACATGGGAGTCAAAAATGTCATCACTAACAAAAGTACATGTACAAATTTGTGTGCATGAATGAAGAGCAGCATTTTTTAATGCTTAGTTGAAACAAGCAGCCTGTCGGCTGAGATAGCACCGCTGTTAGCAATGCATATTGCAATTAAAGAACAGAAGATATTCATTAGAAAATGAACAATATGTATAGTACTAGTATCAAAGCAACAGGACTTACTGTTTTCAACAAGAATTCAAAAATATCACTTTTCACCAAAAATATCATCAAAATATCAGCTAAAAACTCTGTAAACTGCAATTGCTTAATAACTTTTCTGAAGTGATGTTTGAAAAACTACGAACCGAGAACTGCTCTGTGTGAGGCACTAGCAAGCACATATCTGAATTGTATGCTGTCATTCCACTTGTAAACATGGAAGGTGTCTGTGCATCTTCATGAATGTATTGCATGCTGTGTTCTGCATTGTCAAGTAGCGCAATTGGTGGAAAGTCAACTGATTTGTCTGGTAGCTGATATCACCAGCTTACAAGTCGACATGTGGACTGTGGTTACAGCCACTATCATTAACATCTGAGCTAGGTGAGATGACTACTTGGTGTAATCGCCAATGAAGGTTACAGCAAGTGTAAAAGAATAATATTATGGTTGTTTCTACGATAATCAATAGTGCAATAATGTTCGAATTTCATTTTGAAAACTGTCTCCATACGTAAGCCAGGATGGGGGCTTGGCATGTTCGATCAGAGGTTTGGTGTAAAGTTACAGCTTTGGTTTAATATTATGGTTGTTTCTACGATAATCAATAGTGCAATCATGTTCGAATTTCATTTTGAAAACTGTCTCCATACGTAAGCCAGGAAGGGGGCTTGGCATGTTCGATCAGAGGTTTGGTGTAAAGTTACAGCTTTGGTTTCAAAAAATCTGTACGATTTTACACATTGACCTTAATTTAACCTTAATTTGGTCATGCATACACTCTTGTTTCTACTACCCCCTCCCCACCATAGTCATGAAGTTTCATGATTTTTCAGAGTGAACATGATCCAGACGTTGCAGAGAGTTTATTTTGAATTAGGCAGAGGGTTCTCCCCGCCTATTCACATAGTTCATACCCACCATAGACTCCGGCCAGTCAAAATGACTATTTTGAACTGTGGGCATTAATCAGCAATTCTGCCGGTGACAGAGAGATAGAATCTAGGTCAGGGGAAGCCCCATGACCCCAAGATTCTCTTTCCCTTACGTCACGAACCACGTGGCCAAGGCCATATGGCAGCGCCATTAACTGCTGTACAATCACTCTGGTTCCTTTCTTTCCGCCTCAAGGACTTAGACCAACGCTACGGAATAAGGGGAGTGGTTGGGGGGGACCCAGAGTCTATGGTGG